TAATAAAAACTCATTACAAATTTATACAGCTTTTTTTTTTAAATAAACGACAGTTGACAACACTGGCTACAATAGCCTTCAATATATGTTTATCGGGTTTAAATCAATCCCTTTCGAGCCCCGAACTCTCATATATTTTTACTCAGAGCCGAGCCTTAAACCAAACCATTTCAAAAGCAGTCGATTAAACCAACGAACTCTATTCGAAATAGTTTACTTAAAGCGTTTCAAGTAATCTTAGCCTTACATATTCTCAGCCCCAATCATTGAATTTACCTAAGCATATTTGGTAAATGCCAATTTTAGGTAGAGATCAAATATATCTAGGATATTGTCATCCTCTTGTCAACGAATTGTTGGTTCATATTCTAGAAATAAATCCACTTATTGTCATGTTAAATTTATATGTGTCAGTCATGATTATTGTTCTCAGTGTGATAAACTAGGTGGCAACACTTTTATTGGGTGTCAACCCTATTGCAGCAGGACAGCAGCCCTCATGTTAAATTATCTCCTATACTAAATGATAAGAAAATTGGTTCAAGTTACAATTGTTTTGTTTTCTCAATGAAAAACTCGCTATGTCAAACATGATTAAATATTTAACAAGAACTTCAATTTTGCGCATGCAGTGCATGCTTGGCAGGTATTTGTGGCTGTCAGTGCATTGCCCAGCATCTTGAGCTGTGCCCTGTTCCCCTTCTTTCCCGAAAGTCCCAAGTTTCTGATGTCACGTGGACGTAACAAGGAGGCACTGGAAGCCTTCAAGTTCATCTATGCATTGAACACACGTCAGCCGCGCGACGCGTTTCCCGTGAGTGAATGGAATGGACAACCTCAAGTAAAAAAAACTTAAGAACTGTTTCGCAGATAAAACAACTTGCCAATGAAGTGCCCGCTAAATCAGAGCCGAAGCTAGACGTTATAGATAAATCGCAGCCCAAGGAAGTGGCCGCCGATGCGGACGTGGAACTGGCCAATCGGCCAAGAAGTTCGCTGCACTCGGGTCTACTGCAGCTGCGACCACTCTTTGTCAAGCCCTATTTGGGTCTCTCACTTTGGGTGTATCTGCTGAATTTTTGCGTTCTTCTGGGGTAAGCGTCAGCCAATTTCACATAAACTTAGCTAATCCCAACCAATTGGCAGGCAGAACACGATGCGCTTGTGGCTCCCACAGCTCTTTGCCTCCATCAACGAGTACGAGCAGCTGGCCAGCAGCCAGCAGCCGGAGTCCGATGGCACAAGCATCTGCAACATAGTTGAGTACAGCGTGAATCGCACACAGCGACAACTGGCGGCAGCTGCCCTTGATGATGATCCATTGGCCGTCTGCACGGTCAGTGTAAGTGCCGCCAGTTATACCAACAATTTAATTGTGGCCGCCGCTGGCTTGGTTTCCTATACCCTGGCCGGTGTCCTGGTCAATCTGGTTGGCTTCAAGCGGATCATGTGTGCGTAGAAAATCATCTTAATGTTTCCCTAGAAATTTATTCTTCATTTATTTGTAGCCATGTGTCTTTTTGCCGCCGGCTCCTGTGCCCTGGGCATGTACTGGTCAAGTTCATCTGTGACCACCGTGGCGCTTGCCTCTGTGTTTGTCAGTATGGGCAGCATTTCGGGCACATCACTTATAAGCGCCTCCCTCAGCATGTTTCCCACCTCATTGCGGTAGGTGTAAGACCGCGATTCTCGCAATCTCGCGCTGTCGCTCATTCTCCCTTTCTCTCTTATGCTCTTTGACTCACTCTATCATTATCTCAATTTATCGATCTCAATTTATATCCGTTATATCCGTTCATTCTCTTACTCTTAAGTTTTTTCATTCTCACTTTAATTTCTATCTCATTCTGTCCCTATCTCTCATTCTATTTCTCTCTCTCTCTCTCTCTCTCAATAAAATAAAGTCTCTCTCATTATCATTCTATCTCTTTCATTCTCCCACTCTTATTCTCTTTTTCATATTCTTTCTAATTCTCTTTCATGGTTTTCCATTCTTCCTCTCATTCTCTCAAATGCCCTATCCCCCTCATTCTATTTTACTCATTTGCCTCTATCTAGCTTTCATTCTCTCTCTTATTCTCTCTCTCATTCAGTTTCTTTCTGTCTCATACTCTATCATTCTCTCTCGCTAACTCTCTTTCTCTCTCTTTGGTTCTTTCCTTGCTTCTTAGTTTCTCTCTCTCTTCCTCATTCGATCTCTCTCCTATTTTCGTGCTCTCTTGATCTTTCTCATTCACTTCCTCTCTCTCTCTCTCTCTTTCTCGTTCCCTCTCATTCCATCTCTTCCTCTTGTTTTCCCCACCTTTTCTAACTTTGAAATTTGTCTTCCGACAGCACAATGATCGTATCGCTGAGCATGATGGTGGGTCGCATGGGCTCCTTGGCGGGCAACATCTTTTTTCCGGCATTGATGTCGATGGGCTGCCTGCCGCCATTTCTTATGGTCAGCGCCTTTATGTTCTGTAAGTTGTTAGCCTGTATCAATTCCATTAATTCTCACACATGTTTCTGCCTTTTAGGTGCCTGCCTCTTGGCCTCATTTCTGCCAGTGAAAAACAAAGCCGTACTGAAGTAACTCGATATCCATATTCATTAACACAATTTCCCCCAATCAATTTGGTAACAGATTGATCTATATATATAGTTAGTTTTTAGTTGTATTCCTGAGTTGTTCCCCTAATTTTTTCTTTTTTTTTTTTTTGGCCCTGCTGTTATTAAAACTTAATTTATTACAAAATGAATCTTGCAACTGCTTGTCAATTTCCATAAACTTTGTGCCTGACACTCCTTAATTGCAGTCACTTATTAATTCCTGTTCTGCTACGCATACATTAGTGTTAACAGGCGACAAGCCAGGAGACTGGTGAAAGGAAAACAAACAGGAAAAAGAAAGTTTTCCAACGCTGTTCAAGGAATGGCAAAAAACGACGATAGCCGTGTAATTGAGTTGATAACTGCGACTAGCAAAGAACTTTAATCAGCTTTTGTGAAAATATTTTGGACTCGTATCTCTTAGATCCTTCTCTAGCTTAAGTGCCTTTTTGAATAGAAATTAATGCACATTTGTAATTTATACAACGAATGAAAGGGCATTAATCTGAGCAAATAACAAACAAGGCTACGAATCGGTCTCGCACAGAATTCATTCGTGAGATAAAGATAAAGTTTTTTAAATTGGCAGCACAACTGCTTATTGTAACACTTAGAATCAATACATGAACAACTGTAAGTCTTACATAAAGTCGAGAGAATCGCAAAGTAGTAAAGTATAAATAATAATTTTTACTGGCAGCGCAGTGGACAGGTTTGTGTATGGTAAAGGAAAACTTACATACATCATACGCATGTGTATACACATCCAGACATACATGCCAACACACAAACATGCATACATGCATACATACTTCCATACATACATACATACATAAATACATACAAACATACATACATACACTCATACATTCATACATACATACATTCATACATACATACATTCATATAATACATACATACATGCACACATATTTAGAAACATGCATACATGCATGTAGATGTGCATATTACATATATCATGCATGTAGATATGCATATTACAAACATATATGCATGCATGTAGACATATATTTACACATAGAAACAAAAATACAGTTTCTCTGATTGCCAACCTAACATATTATTTTGCTTTAAATCAACGCATCAAAATCTGTAAATATTTAGTTTATGAGAATCGCATAGAGGAGCTATATTCAAAAAAGAAGTTATCAAACAGGTTGATGAAATTTGGTCTGCACAGGCCAAGCTTTTATCTGTAAATTCTAAGCAGCTTTTCCCCTACTTTCCCCTACAATTTGCCATCAGGTAGCTAAATTTTCCGTTAATATTAAATACAAGAAATTTTCATGTAGACCTTCGAGCAGAATAAAAAAAAATGTGTTTTAATACAGTTTGTGCGCATATAGACAAAATTTAAAAATCTTTGAAAAATGTCTTTAATCATTTTTTCTAAAGTTTTGAGTATGAAAACGTTGGAAAATGGATTTGAAGTCGATGATGGAATATAACACATTAGGTAATTGATTAACAATCAAGCAATCAGTCAGTCAAAGAAAATACACTTTTGTTATAGTAGAGTAGGATTTGAGCCTGCGATTCCCATTGCTCGGTGGCCTTAATGACTCCGTAACTTTTGCAGAAAATTTATGAGATGCTTAAAAGATAAGTAGTTGGCTAGTTAACGAATGGAATATTTTTAGTAAATCCAACAGATTCCAACCGCTTGCTCTACATTCCACATAATAAGTGCTACGATAATTTGCAACTATTGTTATCGTCATCAGCTGTCTCACTCTCTCTCTCCTTTTCTGTCTGTCTGTCTCTCTCTCTCTCTCTCTCTTTCTCTTCCCGCTCATATATCTTGAGCACACTCCCTTGGCTGGTTTGGGTGATATATGAGCCGATTCGTGGACGTCAGCCCGCCAGCTCGCCAGTCCAGCGCTAGCTAAATGGAAATGTTAATTATCTGACAACGGAAACGCTTTAAGTTAATGTGAGCTGGCAGCTGGCCGCAGGCATTTAGAAGGCCCCTGTCTGGCGGCGAGCTCCAAACTAAGGATTCCAGCTGCATGGAACGGGATGAGCTTCTGGCTGGCGACGGGTACGGCGTCAGCTTGAATCGTGATTTCACAAATGTTTGAATTCAGAGAAGCCGCAAAAAACTTTTAATTAAAAACTTGACGCTTGACTTGCTAAAAATATCAGGGGTAATTTAAAGATAGAAGGGGAGGGGGGCAGGTTGAACCAGTTCACCAATAGAACTGTCAATCCGTGAGCATCAGCTGAGCCCAGGGAACGCATTACTGCAACAGGTTGCACTCGAGCACAAAATGCAGCGATTTGCGTCACGTTCGCCGTCGTCAGTGTAATCTTATCAGCGAGCATGAGGAATGGCAGAGCTCTGCTGAGCCAAGCAGTGGTTGAGCCATAAATGGGTGGAGGGCAGCGCACGACGAGCACAGTCGAGAAGATGAGCCTCAGCGACAAGGTTGTGATTGTGACGGGCGCCAGCAGTGGCATTGGTGTGGCCATTGCACAGGTGATGGCCCGTGAGGGAGCGCATCTGTCGCTGGTTGGACGCAACGTGACCAATTTGGAGGCAACGCGCGCCTTACTGCAGAAGCAGAACAAGGCCATCCAGGCACTGACTGTCGTCGCTGATGTTACCAAGGATACGGATGTGATTATACAGCAGACACTGAAGCAATTCGGACGCATCGATGTCCTGGTCAATAATGCCGGCATCCTGAGCACAGGTTCGCTCATCGATCTGGACATTAACGAATTCGACACGGTGCTCAATACGAATCTGCGCGCCATTGTGCTGCTAACCAAGGCGACAGTGCCGCATCTGCTCAAGACAAAGGGCAATGTCGTCAATGTGAGCAGCTGTGCCGGCATCTGTCACTTCGCTGGCGCACTGACCTATGGCATATCGAAGGCGGCACTGGATCAATTTACAAAAATTGTCTCATTGGAGCTGGCGCCGCAGGGTGTGCGTGTGAATTCGGTGAATCCCGGTTTTGTGGTCACCAATATACACAGTCGCATTGGCATTGTGGATGAGGAATACAAAAAGGTGCACGAACGTGCCGTCAATTCCCATCCATTGGGCCGCGTCGGCGATGTCTTTGAAGTGGCCGAGGCCGTTGCGTTTCTGGCCAGCTCGAAGGCCAGCTTCACCACCGGCGCCCTGCTGCCCGTCGATGGTGGCAAGCATAATTTTACGCCACGTTAAGTGACACCAAGTATTCCCAGTTGCCTCGAGGTCACACTTTCATTATTATTATTATAATTTTTTGTTTTTTTTTTTTTTGTTTGCCTTTTCTATTTTTAAGCGGAAATACATGCAAAATGCGAATGTTATTTGAAATTTAAAACGTGTGGCTTCAAACTGTGCATCGTCGTGTCTCCAGACCAGACGACCCCAAAGTGACCGTCATGGTTTGCCCTACACTCGGACACGCCTCGAGCTTATCAGCTTATCACGAGCAGCCGCACACAAGCAATTCAGTTAACTTAACCGCCGACCAGAGCATGTCCATCATATATGTAATGCCTCCAGATACAGCTGACACTGGTTATCACAGACCACATGCGTACATGCGTATGGGCTTTCCTAATCTTAAGCCAGCACCTATCAGCCACTCACAAATATTGGGTTTTTTTTTTTTTTTTGGGTCTCTTCACTGAAGGAGAAACTCGAAATGGGTCGGTCATTGTTCCCCTAACGAAATGGGTAAACAATGTCGGGAATTTGACTTTGGGACAACTTTGGGATACACTTACGCCAAGCTATGGTGAATTGAAGAGTTTGAAAAGCTCGCGTCAAGCTTTAGCCGTGCACTGAACCAAGCTTGAAAGCTTTTAGCTTATGCATCGGCACAAATAAAGTTATAACATAAAATCGGTTGCTTTTTTTCATAAATATATTTGAACTTATTTGCTCAATATTTAAAAAAAAAGCGGTTGCTTCACAGCTTAGACAACGTTTTTTCCATCTATTTACTTTTCCACCCATTTTCCGCCCATGAGAATGCTTAAATTCACACCTACTATCTTTAAGCCCCATTTGCACCCAGTGGAGTGATTATTTAAAAAGATATTTGAAAATAAGATGAAAGAGATGCAGCAGCTTCTAAGTAAGCAAAAGAAAAGCCATCGACCATATTCTCTTTGAAAAACAGTAGGGATATCCGCAGACTAAAAAGACTCAGTTCTTCCGAAAAGTCCGAAAAACATCTTCAATGAGTACCAAATTTATTGTACCAATACTAGGAATATTACAATTTTAAGTTTCTTCCAAAGTCAGGAAATTATTTCCCGGCAAAATCACTCGAACTTCTTTAAAAGTAGGCTAACGCTGGAGAAATTCTATGCAAAATGCTAAAACGCAAAGCAATCTTTTAAATTGTTGACACAACATCCAAAACTTTTAGAAAAATGTTCACTTGACGTGTCTAAATTACAGAACAGAGTAAGAAAAGAAATTCAATTTGCCTTTTTTAAAGATATTAGAGCTGCTCCAACAGTGCTTCTGAATGCTCGAAATAGCATTGTTCGACAAATTTTCGGTGCGAAACAACCTGTACGGGGCACCATATTCAAGTGAGCTCAGGGAGCTCAAGCAATATATGGTTCCTTTTTTGGTAGAAAAAATGATACAGGTAAATAGCTATAACTGTTGAGCGGTGAGACACTTGGCTCAAGTGATCTAAGCCCAATAATAAGCATTAAAAAGAGTTGCTTTCCTGCATAGCTAATTTAAGAACCTGCCTGTTCTAGCAGCTGACTTTGGTGTGAAGCACTTCCACTCTTTCAAAGATTAAACTTGTTGCGAATTTTAACGCCTCAGCTGTTAAACGCTTGAAATGAATCTTAACATATATACTCGTGCATAACAGAGAGTGTGTTTAACCAGAGCTAAATTAATGGCAAGCATTTAACTGAGAAGCTTTTCTTCAGATGTTAATAGTGCAAATTAGCATTTTTTATAAATTTTTCATTTATCTTTAAATGTTATATACTTATAATTATTAAAAGATTTTTGGTTAATTCTCTGTCGGGCTGCTCTTCCATTATGATGTACGAAATTAAGTTATATTTGTTTTTTTTTTTTTTCAAAATGTTTGATATTCGAATTTACGATATTGAATTTAAATTTGTTTAAAACGATATTTGGTTATTTGCTGTTAGAAATTCGAAAATACTTTACTTTAGTTAATGGATTCAAAGTTCATTATTTAATTTATCATATAGCGAAATGTTTCTTTTCACAAACTTTCAACTCAAAATGTTATATTATAACATTTTTTTTATTTGTTTATTAGTTTAGTTTAATAATTTTTTTAAATATTTTTAGTGGTTAAACGAAATTTGATTTATGTAGTTAATTTTTTACCACAACACAAATATTGTTGTATAATTTTAAGTTTATTTTTTAAAATGTTGTAATTGATTGAAAGCATATTATTTTTTTTATAATTTAATGTTTGTTCTTTCAAATTTGTGGCAATTCATTAATTTTCATCACAATGCTCGAAATGAAGTGTTTGATTTTTCAACAATTTCCTTACAAACTTTCCTTAGTTTCAACAGCTTTGCTGATGCTGAAAGTCCAGTACAAAGAAGCACTGTTGGAGCAGCACTGATATCTTGAGCAAGAAGAGTACACATAGCCAGCTCTGGATGAGCTATGAAAATCTACAAGTTCTGATTCTAGTAATTGTCAAACTTTTCACAGGGTAAGTTTCAGTTAGCACTAAAAGTTTGCGTCTATTTTTAACTGACTAGCCCAGCGGATGGTAGATGTGTTCCAAAAGCTTGGTAGCCGAAGGTAGCGATATGTGGCGAGCTTTTGGCATGACATGCACCTTGCAACCCCTAAAAGTGTTCAGCTTAAAGCTGAAAGCAACCCCATTAATAAAAGCGCTGCCATGGAAAATGTTGGCAACTGTCAGTGCGTCAAAGGCAGTCGCAGCGTGCGCATCGTGACTGCAATATCCAACAGCCTCATATTGTGGCCATAACTGAGCACTCGAGAACCACCCACACCCGCCCACATATTAGCGTGAGGATTGCACAGCTGTTGGAATTGAAGAAGCGACCGATTGATTTTTCGCAATTGAATCTTAAGGCGAACGTTGCAGTTGCGTGCTGAAAGTGTGGCAAGTGAGCTGGCCAGGCACACATATGGAAATGAATGACACGCTGGCCGAAGGTCAGCAGCCAGCGAGCAGCACCAGCAGCTGTGACAATGTGCAACCAACAAAAACAACGACAACAACATCATCAACAACAACAACAACAACAACATCAACAATTATCGCTGTCAATGTGAACGAGGGAAACGTTGATAGTCAAGCATATCCAGAAACAGATCCGGAGGCGGATGCCGAGGATGAGGCGCAGCCATTGAGCGAACGCTGGTCACCATTGGGCGCCAACTATGATGATGCGAACAGCGCCAGCTCAGAGCTGATGACGAGCGGCGGCGACTGTGCCGAGCTAGATGAGCCGCAGTTGCTTGGATGCCTGACACTGGACAAGCCGCCGCCGCCGCCGCCGCTGCTGACAGTGGGCACAGCTGGTGCGGATAATGCCAGCGAATTGGCACGTTTGCGCAGCATTGAGGAGGAGCAGGAGCTGCTGACCAGCTCACTGTTGGCATTGACCTCACAGTTTGCGCACGTCCAGCTGCGCGTGCGACAAATTGTGGAGGCGCCCACAGATGAGCGAGATCAATTGTTGCGTGACCTAGAGGATTTCGCCTTTCAGGGCATACCGGAGGTGGCGCAGCCCAATAACGACCATGGCACTGATGAAATGCAGGCAACGACGGCACCACCCGATGGCCAGCTGATCGAGCAGCTGAAGTCGCAGCTAACGGAGCTGGAGCAATTGGCGTATGATTCAGGCACGCCGGGCGTATTGCCGCAGCATGTGCTGCTCGAGAAGCAAAAGTTCATACTGGACGAGCTGCGCACCAAGCTCAATTTGCAGGTGGAACAGCATCAGTTGCCCGCACTTAGCACCGAACAGCTGCGCCATCAGGTGGACAATGCCATTGGCGAGTTTGTGGGCCCGCTCAAAATGAAGGAACAGCTGGTGGCACAGCTCAAAACGCAAATCACCGATCTGGAGCGTTTTATTGCCTTTCTGCAGTGCGATACCGCTGGCGCTGGCGGAGGCGGCAGCGGCACCACTAGCGCCAGCGACAAACTAAAGCTACTTAGTGGTGCCTACAATAGCTATGCGGCCAAGCAGACAGCCCGTCAGACACCCGGCCAGCTGCCCGTAATGGCAACCACATCGTCGGCAACAGCAGCGGCAGCCAACATGAATGCAGCAGCAGGCACATCCTCCGCGGAGCATGAACCACGACGCGAAAGCCTGCACAGCAAGGCGCACGGACTGCTTGACAAGGCATCGCTGCTGATGCAAATGTTTGCCACAACCCATTTCGCCAAGCGTCAAGCGGACTTTCAGCAAAACTCGCTGAAGAAAACGCACAAGGGCAACCACTGGGGGTGAGTATCCAATAATGGGCAATTATATTGTCATACATATACTTATAATGGGAATTGGAACAGTTGCGAGAACATTTGAAAATGCGTTACGTTTGCATGCCACGGTGGCAACGTCACCAACAATACCAAATCGATGGACAGACAGCTAGTCGATTAATAATATGCTAAAATTTATCGTTCGATCATTGTGGCAACGCCATGTTGCAAAGGCTGGCAATATCGCTGAGCGACATGCTGGCAGCACAGATCGATAAAATGTTAAAATCAAATTTAACTGACACGAAAAATTAAAGTGTTGATATTTCTAATACATATTTGTTTTCTTCTAGGGATCTGCGCGCACAGCTGGAGGTGGACATCCAGGAGGTAGCCGCATTGGCCGCCACACTAAGCTGCGATCGCCAAAAGTTGGCCAATATCAAACGCGCACTGCGCCAGCAACAGCAGCTGGCGGCGACCAATGCCAACAACGCAAGCGGCTCGTTTAATGCACAAAATGGTGCATTAACCACATTGCCGCCACGCTGCAGGCGTGCAGTTGCCAATGCTGCCGCCGCTGGCCACGAGCTGACGCCGTATGCCGCAAGCGCAGCGGCTGCCGCCTCATCTGACTCGGATGAGGATATATACGAACGATACGACTGGGACAAGGACAAGTCTATGGGCCGACGCATTGTGCATATGCGCGGCGATTCCATAGCCACTATCGGACGCGAACTGACCAGTGTGGTGCGCAAGAATTTTGCGCGAACACTGCAGCAGCTCATCCAGCACGGACTACGCATACCAGCCGAATCGGCGGCTACCAGCCTGATGGTGCCCTTTATGCGTTGCCTGCACCCGGGCGCACAGCGTGTGGCGGCGGGTGCGGCGCCAGAGATGCAATTTCTTGGCATTGGTCGTGCCATGCACGCCTGGGAGCTGATACTCGAGTACTATAATCTGAAGCATGGCGAGGAGTACAACAATACGCCGGCACGGAAGCTATCCCAAAGCTTTCAATTGGATATTGTGGATGCACAGGTGGTTACGGCCAAGCAGAGCCTGCTGAGCGCCATTGGCATGATCCTGACCATGCATCGGCCCTACAAGCGCAGCTACAACGCCCATTTTAAGGCATTAATCTGTGCCGGACTTAAGTGAGTGCCCAATCCTATGCTTAAATACCCTCTAGACATTGCAAACTGGGTATATTGTAGTTGTGCAAATGCATTCATCCCACTCCATGAAACTTATATACCCGATTAGATTGTAGTCATGCGAGTCTGTCCATATACCGCATACCACATGATAACAAAATTATTCCAAATCGATAAATATCGATCGATAGCGTACGCCTTCGAGGCTTATATATCGCAGCACATAAGCGCTGGGTTGCTTAAAACTTAGAATTAATATGTTTTTAACATAATCAATTAAATAGATACCTAATTTGAATGTAGATAAATTTGGAATGCAGATAAAGTGTAGGTGTAATAATCGATAACAACCCAATTTCTGGGTAATCGATATATATATATACATATATTTATATGGTAGTGCGGGCAATATATATATATATGTATATGTATATATATGGATTTGGTAGCTAGATCAGGTATGTTTCAGATATTTAGTGGAGATCGAGAAGTATCAATATCTAACCCTGTTAGCTTAAATAAACCAAAAAATCTAGTTGCTAAGGCAAAACTTGAAATCATGTGCAGGATAACATGCGGACGGACACTCCCGCCCAGAACCCAACCCCTTGCTTAAGCAGTTAACTTATGCACTTCTATTGAAATTAGTTCATAATCTATGTTTCTTGTTCGCAGCGCACATCTTCTGGTGGAGTGGCTTAATCTGATACTCAGCTGCAACGAGCTTATTGATACATACTATACGTCCAATAGCTATGTGGCGTGCACGGGATTCCGCGACTCGCTGCGCTCTATTGATGCGCTGTCCAAGTTTGATTTCGATTTGCCCGTGGATTTGGCTATACGGCATTTTCGCAATATCTAAACTGAATGGATCGATCGATCCACCGATCCACCGATCGACCGATCGGTTAGTTCGTTTATGGCATCTCGTAATTTTTGTTCTCCCTTAAAAGCTAGTTCAACTCCTGAATCTTAATGTATAAATATGTGTATATAACTTTAGATATGTCCAATTAACTAATATACCTACTAAATACAATTACTAAACCTAATGCCTAAAAATCGCTCATATAAAACTGATGGATACACTGGCTCACCTTTTCGCCCAGTGGACGCTGCAGCGGACCACAGCACAGACCGGCCAGCAGTAGACGTGCCTCGGCCTCGCTTTGGCACTTCCCGTAGGCATCCAGCAGCTGGCGCGGCGTTGCATATCGCTCCACAATGGCTAAGGCACGATCGATGGAGAGAGAGTGCAGCTGGAGCAGCTGCTGCACAAACACCTCGCGCACCGTCAGCTGCGCATTGCGTGCAGAGTCCTCATAGAGGGCTCGAAACTTGAGCAAGCCCACATGACTGCTGCTGCTCCGAGAGCTGTGCTGAGACTGTGCCTCCAGCTGCGTCTTGTCGACGCTGTGCAGCGACTTGGCCGCGTGCACATAGAGCTGCTCCAAGGCGCTACTCACGCCTCTCAGATAGCACATGGAGCGATAGTGATTGTCAGAGCGTACAACTTGAATGTTGGCGGACTGAATGCGCGCGTTGGTCAGCGCCTGCAGCAAGGAGTCCAGCGGCAGACCGAGCTGCTCATTGTCGCCATAGTCTTCGATCAGATAGATAATGTGCGGCAGACCACACTGGGCCAAGCGATGCTTCTGCTCGTGAAATCGGCCATCGCGTATGCTGCTTGCCAAATCGTCCATGCGCTTGCGCTCAACGATGTAGGGCAGCACCAGCTCATTGCCGGCGGCATCGCGTGCTATCCACAGAAAGTCGCCGACGGTTAGGCGGCGCACTTCGTGCTCCACGTTCAGTGTCTGCAGATAGCTGCGCGTCTGATCCAATATGCGCTTATTCTTGCCGCTTGTCTCTTGCGTGTCGACAAGCAGCACAATGCGATAGCTGCCCGCGCACATCTGGACGATGCGCTCCCGTTCCTCAGCTGCTGCCAGCTCCTGCAGCGCTTTTTTGGTCAATTTCTTGGGTTGCTTCAGAAGCTGCTGCTGCTGTTTTTGCTGTTTCTTTTGCACCACTTTAACCACTTGTTGAACCTGCTCCTGGTACTGTGTTACAGTCGCAGCCATTGGCAGCGTTCCTTTGCTTGCCAGCACCTGGTATTGCCGCAGCTCATCATCGATGAGCTGACAGAGCGTTGAGCCAAATCCACGCAGAACGGCGCACTCGCGGCCGCTGTAGAGTGGCAGCGGATAGTTGCGCAATGCCTCCAGCGCCTGCCGCAGCTTGTGCTGGGACTTGCGATTGCGGCGCTCGGCCTCATGGAGCCAACGTTCTAGCCAGCGCGTAAAGAGTGGATTTGGTTCCAATAGCTTAATTTCTAAGCGTGCTTCCATATCCCCGCCAAAATGCAAACTGAGGATGCCACCTAGTTGAAAAAAAATTTACGTCTTAGTGTGAATGGCAAAGGCAACTAGATAATTTGTGCTTCAACAGCTGATGTTATATTAATTCTTTGCATGCATATTTTAAAAATGCGTGCTGACTTCTGTTAAACCTGACTAGGTTTGTGTGCTGCCATCTGTTAACAATTCTTTGAAAATGATTGAGCAGCATTGCACGCATGCGCATGCCATCTATTGACAGCTGGTCACACTGCACACCAACTATCTTGTGCAGCGTACACACTTTAAAATTGACTAGGTTGTGTGCCTCCATCTATTGCGATGACCACATCGTTGCAAATGTTACATGACAGAGGTGGGAATGCTACTGCTAAAGTAATGCTTATGGATGCACTGGCTTACCTTTTGGCCAAGTAGCGGACCACAGCACAGACCGGCCAGCAGAAGACGTGCCTCGGTCTAGTTTTGACTTTTTCCAAGATGAAGAGAGAATGCAGCTGAAACAACCGCTGCACAAACCACCTCGCGCTCTTAACCGGCAGCTATGGTCGGACTTAACCTCCAGCTGCGTCTTGTCAGTGACTTGGTCATGTGCATATAATGAGCTGTTGCTCTTGTTGCTTTTGTTGCTTTTGCATCACTTTAATCACCTGTTGAACCTGCTCCTCACACTGTGTTACAATCGCAGCCATTGGTAGCGCTCCTTTGCTTGCCAGCACCCGTGGCCGCCGCAGCTCCCCATCGAAATGCTCGGGATCGCTGTGCAGTGACAGCGGATGGTTGCACAATGCCTTCAGCGAATGCTGCAGCTTGTGCTGGGACTTACGATTGTGCCGTTTGTAGTTATGGAGACTGAGTTCTAGCAAGCACGTGAAAATTGAATTTAGTTTTTGCTGCTTAATTGCGAAACGTGCTTCTATAACCGCGCCAAAATGCAAATGGAGGTTGCCACATAGTTGAAACAATGGAGAGGCTTTTGTGTGAATGGCAAAGCAATACGATAATCTCTGTGGTAACAGCTGATGTTACAATTAATATCGTTTATCTAAATAAATTAATTTTAATTATCTGGCGCGAGCTGACTTTTCTTTAAAACAGCCGCCATCTATAGTCTATATTAAGGTTTAAAGTGCCAGACATTTAAGAAGAGCATGCGCTTGTCAAGCAATGTGCCGCCATCTATTATTCGTTGACACTGCAACTAATTTGTGCAGTAAAGCCGTTGTTATAAAACATATTATATTATTGGCGTTGAGACTTTTAAGGCTGAGTTTTGTTTTTAAAATAGACTTGGTTTGTGTGCCGCCATCTGTTGTCATTACTTGAATTTCAAATGCCAGATATTTTAGAAAAGGTCATATCTGTTTGTGCGCATGTGCATAATTTACCTCCATCTATTACTAATACTTATATTTTAAGTGCGCATGTGCATGTCCACGGAATGGTCCGCCATCTATTGTCGATTGGTTGCTCTGAGCTACCACATCGACGCAAATGATACTTGGCAGTGCTGCCAGCCGTTGCAAAACTACGCCGCCGTGTGAATGTTTAGTAATTCTTAAACGTGCAACTTTGTTTTGCCGCAAGCTGCATTAAGAATGACTACAAAACCGTCCAGTAGCTGCAGCAATAGCAGCACCAGTCGTGGCAATGCTAATCCTGGTATTGATGACATCAATCTTGAGGCGCTGACACTCAGCGAAGGCATACGGGACTCGCCCGTCTGCATTATTGTGCTTGGCATGGCCGGTTCCGGCAAGACAACGTTTACACGCAGTCTCATCCAGCACGCCCAGGCGCAGTTTAATCCGTATGTGGTCAACCTTGATCCCGCATGCCGGGAGGTTCCGTATGCGGCGCATATTGATATACGCGACACGGTGAACTACAGAGAGGTGATGAAACAATATCAGCTGGGCCCCAATGGCGGCATTGTGACTGCGCTGAATATGTTCACCACCAAGATGCCCAAATTTGCGGAGCTGGTGCGTCGCGCCGGCGAACGTGGCCACAAATGGTGCATCATCGATACACCCGGTCAAATAGAGGTGTTCACTTGGTCAGCATCGGGCAGCATTATCACTGAGGGTCTGGCCACCATGTTTCCCACAATTGTTGTCTATGTTATGGATGTTGTGCGCTCCAGTTGCCCCACCACATTCATGTCCAATATGCTGTACGCCTGTTCCATATTGTACAAGACGCGGCTGCCCTTTCTGATAGCGCTCAACAAGGTGAGTGCAATAGATATAAGTAAAACAGATTCTTTAAGGGCTCATATTATTTTCGTTGAAACAGATTGACCTGAAGGACTGCAGCTTTGTGCAGGAATGGATGACCGACTTCGAAGTGTTCCAAGATGCACTGGAACAGGAGCACAGCTATGTCAACAATCTGACGCGCACTATGTCGCTTACATTGGACACATTTTACGAGAATCTAATCACATGCGGTGTCTCAGCCAAAACGGGCATTGGCTTTGCCACCTTGATAAAGCACATTCTCGACTGTGTCAACGAGTACGAGCGCGATTACAAGCCGGTGTATGAGAAGATGCGTCTACAGCGCCTGGCCGACCAACAGGCCATTTCATTCCCAGCAACAGTCGTCGATGAGGCAGGCACAGCGGTGCCCATGGGCCTAAATCTGACTGTTAGTTATAAAAAATATATGAAAAGAACCTACCTAATTACTTTTATATACCTATTTGCAGGAACCAACAAGCAATGCGGACAACAGCGTATTTCTCATGGCGCCCAGCCTGGTGCCGGTACAAATGGATGCAGATACAGAGGAGTCAGAGGCCGATGCCAAGAATACAACAGAGGAGCAAAATTTTCAGAGTTTCGTTCAAGATCATTTGACGGCGCAGCAAAACAAACGCGACAAACAGCAGCGGTCGCAGCAGGAACAGAAATCTTAGGCGATAGATTAAGCTCGTCAGTAAATCTAGTTTTAAGCTAAAAGATAAACAAAAAAAAAATTGATAGCTATACACTGTGAAAATCGTAATGAAATCCTTATAATTTATGCAGTTAGTTTGTTCTTTATTATTTTATTCACTTTAACAAGCAAAAACATTCAATATAGTGTTTGTGTTTCTTTTTTTTTTTTTTATTTTTTTTTAATATATTTTGTTTTGTATATGCATGTGTGTATATTTATAATTGTGTGTGTATGTATATAATGTTTGCGTAGTTCTCTGGAATATATATGGACTTAAGTGTTTAGCTTTGCAAATTATTTGTAACAATTACAATGATATATGACGGATATATTATCCATTTGGGAATCTTTGATTTGATTTATTGGATAATGCTTGTGTATATGTAAATGCAAGCCGTCATCGATTTGTCCTATATTATAGCAAATACTCTTTATATGTACCACACAAATATATATATATATGTATATATGTATATGTATATGCATAATGCACATAAGTATGATGAGCAAATCAATTGTGAGTGCGCCATGCCACGCCCAGCCCGCCTTATGGCACATAGGGGGGGTTTCCTTTTTGTTGTTGTTGTTGTTGTTTTGTTTTGGGTTTTTGTTAAATATTATGCTTACAAAAATACAGATCATCTCAAATTACAGCTCTCAATGATTTTTACATAGTTATACACAGTTATATAGATCGACATTGAAGTTATACAGTTATACATACATATTCATAAATATATATATAGTGTATACAGTGTACATAGTATTACTTTTCTTATCAATCGAACTATGACCTAGAAGCTAATCCATTTCTAATTCTGCCCACATCTAATTTCTGTTCCGAACCGAGACGTTAACTAAATACAGATGTTTCAAAAACATTTGCTGCAACAAATATTGTGCTCAAGATTTATATAGACTGCGACTTAAAATGATTACTGAATAACGTGTATTGCATTTTCCTCGACACCACACCCCCACCCAGCCACCCCCTCTTACCCTTTGGAAAATGCCCAGCACTGCAGACGCTTGTGCGTGCCATCGATTTTTGATAAGTTTTCTTTAAATACTCAAAATTTGACATCTTAAATGCATTTCAAGCTTAAAAATCGTTTAATATTTGTGCTAAAAATCATGTATATTCGTATAAGTTAATAAGTGTATGCAAATAGTTTATGTAAACAGGCACACACACACGCACACACACAGACATACGTGAAAAGGAAAAAATTGTTTCAAAAATTGTGCGAAAAAAAAAAATTATAATAATAATATGATATATGTTAACAGCTTATTTAAAGAATCCTTAATATGTGTTTTCAAGAAACAGTCTTCTAGGTTTTTTTTTTTTTTTGCGGAGTTTTTTGTTTACTTTGGAAACATAACATTGAAAATTGCTTGAGTGTCAATAAATTTTGTCAACTTGGCATTTCAATATGCGTTTGCTGCGTTTGTTACGGATAGCTTAGCTTGGACAGCATTTTTTTTTTTAAGTTTTTTTTTTTTTTAATTTTTTTTTTGTGATACTTAAAATACTAAATATGCCCAAATACAAATCGACAACTATGTGCGCGCATTTGAAACAGTTTGAATATCATCATCGGACATATATAAATGGATAGCATGGAGATTTTAAGGATTTTCTATATGTTTTTTAAGAATTTCAGCTGCATAAATTGCGCACATATTTGTATATTTGCAGAAGGTACATTTGATTAAAATACGCTTTATATAACTTTAGTTTTGTGTTGGTATCAAGCTTTCATTTTCATTTGTTTTCTTTTTTCTCATTAATAATTACAATTTTTGCTTTGATCAAAAATTTGTTATCTTAATATGCCTGTATGTTCTTGTATGTATATATATATATATATATATATATCATAAAAATATTTAGATTCAAATGTTAAATGAAAATACGAAACAAAACAAAAAGCCATCAATAAGCGACCAAAGTAAAGGGGCACACGTACGAATGAAAATGTGTATTTTAACTTGATGCTTTTCTTTTTTTAATATACAGTTAAATTAATCATCGTCGGACAGATTTGTTGTTGTTAGCAGTGTGGCATTATCTTCGGCGCCTTGCTCTTCAATATCCTGCATGAGAGAGGAGAGAGAAGCGTTCTAGGGTAAATATTCTAGTATTTTATTTGATAGAAACCGGGTTCCATTGTCTCGAGAAATTTAACTCAAGTTCTTGGGTAAATATTCTAGTATTTTATTTGATAGAAACCGAGTTCCATTGTTTCGAGAAACTTAACTCAAGTTCTTGGATAAATATTCCAATTTTTTTATTTGATAGGAACCGAGTTCCATTGTCTCGAGACATTTAACTTAAGTTCTTGGATAAATATTCCAATTTTTTTATTTGATAGGAACCGAGTTCCATTGTATCGAGAAATTTAACTCATGTAATTGTCAACCCCTAGCCCCAGGCCTGGATAAAAAACAAACAGAAGTTAAATATTTGTTATTTTTTCTTATACAAAATATATTTAGCAATTTGTTTTTGTTACATTCATTAGGACGTATAAAACCACACGATCAAAATGATAAACTAACATTAAAAGTACACACACACACACACAACATATGCATATACACACATACATATAAGCAATGCGCACATACATACGCACACATATATGTTACATTGCTTTTTTAGTTCACATTTACACACACACACACACACAGAGAGAGAGAGAGAGAGAGAGAGCAAAAACACATTTGTGCATATAATTTTGATTTTTTTCGCAGTCATGTATAAAAATAAAAAATTTGTTTATTTCAAATAAAAAATATTTGTAATTTGTAATAATAATGTTTAAAAAAAAAAAAAAATTAAAAAGAAAAACTTAAATTGAAACAAAACATTTAGGTTTACAAATAGCTTCCGCTCTGAGAGAATATTCTAAATGCAGCGCGACAGTATAAAAATATTTGACGTGTTGTGTTGTTTAGTGTAGCAAATGCTGGATTTCGCTGTTAGCCTGCTCTGTTCGTGTTCGTTTTCTTGTTGTTGTTTGTTGTTGTTGTTGTTGTTGTTGTTGTTTGTTGCTTGAGCGTCTGGAAGTGTGCGGAAGATTTTGTTGTTTGCTGGAGCCGCAGCCTTGCTTAGCTGATTCACTTGAGCTTCTGCTTGACGGGACTGGGCGAGGCCTGATCGGCCTCGGGCAGATCGCTCTCCTTCTTGCGCTTCAGCTTATCCTTGTTGGGCGCCTTCGCCTTCTTGGTCTGCGCCGCCAGCAGCTTAGCCTCGCGTTTCGCCTCCCGCTTGGCGCGCAGCTGTTCGGTAATAAACGAGTAGACCAGATAGCCCTGCAGAGCGATCAGGGCAATCATGGCGATTACCGCACGCGCCTTATAGCTGCCGCCAGATCGGCCAATGCCATAGTAGAGCGTCAGCACACCGATCACCGAGGTGGCAAAGCGCACCAGGACAAAGCATACATTGTTCACAATATTGGCGCGTGCCAGACGCTCCTCGCGATCAAAGACGCCAATCAGCTGGAATACGTGGGCGAGCAGCTCGCTAAAGTAGTGCAGCGTGAGCAGGACAAGCGCCAAGCGCTGGAAGCTAAGCGTATAGGCCAATACGATGATCGTGAATCCGCTTATGGAATGTATTATCTTGGGCTGTTGCTCCTCCTTGGCGCGCACCTTCTGGAAATAGAGTTCGGGCAGCATGTGCAGATAGTATGCCAACTGGATGATAAAATAGAATTTATGCAGGAAACTCATTGGATGCGCCGGATAGCCCTCCCACAGTTGGGCCACTTGGCCCAGATAGCCTTCGCGCAGCGCCACATGTGTGCCCCAAACGAATGAGAGCAGATAGAAGGCAACCAATTGGCCGGATTCATTGAAGCGTGCCAGCTTGAATTTCGATAAGTGCAGCTTCTTGCTAATCTTGTCCAGCACAAACTCCTGTATGATGGCGTGCATTATGATGCAGGTGAGCGTATAAAAGAATATCGCACAATAGTCCTTAATGCCGGCCAAATATGTGTATGGCTTGCCATACGGCTGCTCCCGGCTAGCCTCCTCGCCACTAACATTATGATGCAGCGATATGAAGGCGCTGGCAAACGATGCCGTCGATTCGTTCATCAGTCCAACAACAAATACCATTGCCACACAGGAGATGATGTCCGCATGGTTTTGTATGACAAACTCGTGGCTCAATATCGGTGGATTTTTGTTGCTCGTCTTGCGGCCGAGTCCCGGTTTGATGGCCATAGTTATTCTTCTTGTTGTTGTTGTTGTTCTGGTTGTTGTTTCTTCTGGCTAGTTGCTGCAATGTTGCAAGTTGAATTAGTGTTTGGTGAATGCAATCACGCTCTCTGTCTCTCTCTCTCTCTCTCACTCGCACACACGCTATCGGTGCGGGTGTGTGCGCGTGGCTGTTGCAACGTCAGCAGCAGCTGACATCGCATCGCCAGCGGAATTATGGCCATGTGCATGCAAATGCCAATTGGCCTGTGCAGCCCATGCAACAGCAGCGCGCACACACACGCACACACGCACACACACACACAAGCACAGTAACAAAACACACAATACAAATTTGCCTTGTTGGCACACACATACATACAAGAGAGAGAGGCAGCGCTGCTAGCGCCACACGCAAGCAAATTTCTTTCTTGCTTTTCACTAGACAAGCGAGTTTGTTGTTGTTATTTTTGTTTGCTTACAGGATTGGAATTTGTGCTGCAATTTGCTGACGTAGGCGTCTTCCAGTTGTGTATTTCTTGTGATTTTCCTTCTTCTTCTCCTTTTGTTATTCTTGTTAAGCACTCTTAGTTTTTAATTAAAGTTTTACTTTTTTTTTCTTTTTTTTTTATTCCAGTGCGCCTGTGGTCCAGCCGCCTCTGCTGCCTGCCTGCCTCTGGCTTTTAGTTTAGCTGCTGCTGCTGCTGCTGCTGCTCACCTGTAAGTGAGTGACTGACTAACTGACTGACTGACTAACTAACTGAATGAATGTGTGGCTACGTTTCACCGAAAACGCTGTGTGTGTGTGTGTGTGTCTGTGTGTGAATGCCAAGGCGGCCTACTGGCAAACAGAGCCAAGCAGCAACAACAACGGCGCTGCCACCAGCCGCAGCAGTACAACAAAACATACAGCCAGCGGTAGCAACAACAACAGCAACACAGAAACAAAAAAACAAAAAAAACTGCCACGCAAACGACTCTCGGCTCCAACGGGTAATAGTGTATCTGTCGTCTTGTTGTTGTTGTTTCTGCTCACTACCACTTGTTCACGTTGTTGTTTATTGCCTGCTCGCTTGCGCACACACAGCGTACGTACGCTTAGGTATTGCCGGCTAATGATATGCGCTCTCACTTCCACACGCCCAGAGCGCCACAATATTATGTTGGGGCACCCAATCGTCGATGTCACGATGTTTGGCCACGATGTCCGTTTTTGATATTTGTTTGCTTCGTGTGCCAGCCGACAGTGACGTGGAATTCGTTGGATGTTTGGCTTATCGATAGACACAATAGGCGTCATCAGCGCAACATTTGCAACTCTGCCAAGAGGCACGAAAAAGAAAGTTCGCCCAAGGCGTCGTTACACGCGTGATGTCACATACTCGGATATACGGCAAGGCTTATGCTAGATACGCCATCTATGTAACTTAAAGTACACATTTTAGCACAACCTATTCACGCTTGCATGCTGACGTCATGCGCAGAGAACCGAATGCTTAACAGAGTTACCGCTCTCTGTCATTTTTGCCATTCACATTAATACGCGTTCATTGCACTACTCGAATATAACGGTTGAAATTCAAATATATTTTAAATTCAAGAAACGCGCACTTAGGTTATTGATCAATTAAAAGGTAAATTAAAACTTAAACTGTAACTATGCACTTAACGCCAATAATGAGTTAATTATTATTAGTTAACACTGCAGTAGGACCTCTTTTAAGATAATTATATAATATATTAGTTGTGGAAAGGCTAACGTTAATACTAATGATAATAATAATCAGTCAGATGCTTATGATTGTCCACAACGTGACCAAACCGAGCTTCTTTTTAATTATTTATCTTAGATCATGTCTGATTTTAACGTAATTTCATAATTTTGTAGCGAACTTATGGTTTTAGATGGAATTTGAACTATTTAAGATCTAAAGTTTAAGTTTAAGTAAGTAAGTAAAGTCAAACCTGGAAATGCAACAAATATATATTTTAACAAACCAGGCTCGTGAATTAAACTTTGACCTTTTTTAAGTTGGTTTTAATCTATTAAGCTGATATTATTTGAAAAGGTAGACAGGTATTTGAACTCAGGTGGTAAACTAGAGCTCTCCCTAACAAAGATGAGATCAGGAAAGGCGATATACGACCCGGTTTCTTAGTATATGGGTTAGAAATACAAATATTGGTCAATTGTGTAAAATTACAAGGCAGTCATGCAAAATGGTAATTAAATGCATTTGTACTCACGTTACGATTCCGCTTGCGCACCGAGGACACAATGGTGCGCTTGTTGCGTGCCACCAGGCAGACCGTTATAATTAAAATCATGCCAATAAGTGCAAATCCAAGCAATGCGGGCAACAGCACGCTATCCTCAGCCTTGTAGCCCTGCGAACGAAGTGTGAGTGGGAGTCAGACCGAGGCAAGAGGCACAAACCACAGGCTCCATACTTACCGACCACTGGACGTAGGTGGATGGATCTATGTACGCCCAGCGTGTGTTCATCCAAGCGCTGTTGCTTCTGTTCTGCTCCACAGCCTCGTTTCCAGGCAATTGTTGTTGCTGTTGCTGCTGCTGTTGCAGCTGTGTGCTCTGGGTCTTGGCCAGCACGGGCGGCATGATGGGCTTCTTGGCTGCCGATTTGAGCAGCGGTACTTGTATAATGCGCGTGGTTATGGTTGCGGCCAGGCGATTGCTAAGCGGTGGGACGGCGGCGGCGGTGGCGGCGGTGGTGGCGTTGTTGGTGGTGGCAACTGTTGCCAGTGTTGAATATGTTGCTGCCGGCAAGGCTGATCGTACGGTGCTAGCCAAAAGCTGTTGTTCAGTTGTCTGCATGCCAGGTGTTGTTGTTGTTGTTGTTGCGATTGTTGTTGTTGTTGTTGTTGTCGCAGTTTTGTCCAGCTTTAAGACAAACTGCTCAATGCCATCGTGCTTGACAATCTGCACAGTTTTGCCAACATTCTGGCCCAAAATGGCCGCCACTGGCGGAGCTGGTGCTGGAGCCGCAGCTGTTGCTGCTTTTCCGTCTGCAATATGCGGCAACTGTCGCTCGCCACTGTGCGTGAACGCCGCCTTCGTTTTGAGGAACCATTCGGCTGGGCTGGGCAAGCACTCGGCGGAAACCAGAAACGGTATTAGCACGGCGCCAATGATAACCGTACAGACAAAGATCAGGCCCAGATATGCAAAGAATGTGCGACGTCTGCGCGGCGATGTCGACGCGCTGCGCTTGCCGCCCGGCCCGGCCGTGCTGGACGTAACGGACGTATTCGACACGGATGCGGTAGCGTTTGCTGCCAAGCTGCAGCTGGCGTTTGTCAGTTTGCCCTCAATCCGAAAATCGTCGTTTTGCGGCAAAATTGTATATTGCAAACTGTTCTCGCCGTGCCTAATTGTTTTGTACATTTTAATTTTGTTCTGATGCTCTTCTAACTTACTTTGAGACTTGTTTTGTTGTTGTTTTTCTTGTTTGCTTTGCGCTCTCTGGTTTCTATTTTTATTTTTTTTTGTTTTTTTTTTTTTTTTTGTGTGTGTAACTGTAAATGTTGCGAATCTATAACGGGAAGCAAGGACACAACGGGACACTTTTGCTGTTGAGCTTCGCGTTTCCTGCTGCTTAATTGTGCTTCACGCCAAACGCTGTTGTGCCAATTGTTGTTGTTGTTGTTGTTGTTGCTGCTGTTGCTGTTGTTGCATGCTCTTTGCGTACTAATTTTATGTTTTTATTGATTTCGCTTTTGTTGTTTTGCCAGTCGAAGAGAGACGAGCGCAGGCAACAGCAGCTCGAAAAACTGCAAAATTTTTGGCGCAGCCGCAAATCGCATTTGGTTTTGCTGTTGGCAACACTCTTAACGGTTAATAATAAATATTGCCAGTGCTGGAAAACGCAATCATGCATAGATTCCTGTGTATACTTCAAGGAGTAGTAGTCATATAACAACTAATTTGAACTTAAACTTAAAATGATTCGAATGCAATCGAATTATTATTATGCATAAAGTTTGAATTTCCTTAAAGTTCGTTGAGTTTACATATGTTCTGATCGATGATTAGGCCACCATAACACTAGCTTGCGTTCTAAATTTGGTGACAGTAACGCTGAAACTTTCTATTGGACGGCACCATATAATCTGAACATTATCTGAGACGAGTATACACGAATATATATTGCCAAATTTTAGGTCTCTAACATTAATTGCGTCGTAGAAACGCGCTCAGCCAGACAGAGGGGCAGACAGGGGGCCAGGCATGATGGACATTGAACAGAACGAATATGCTCATTTCGTTTTGTGGACGAGCATAAGCATGGATATTGTGATATAAACCGCGCAAGCTCTCTGATATGCTGCTGCGCATGACAAAAGCTGATTGTTATACAAAAACAATGTGTGTATACATGAATAGCATAGCTGGCTGCGCTGACAAAAGATAAATGCTATGCACAGGTATTAAATGGGAACCGGGAAACGAATTTAATTTTTATCATCAACTGACGGTTTGGGTTTACGATACGACTCATAAATGAAACAAACAAATTGTCAACTGATTTATGGCCAAAAGCAAATGCAACATTAATTGAGCAATCGACCGGTTTCAATGGCCAACGTTTCTGCTGGCAAAGGCTGCGTGAATGTGGCCGACTGATAAGACCCATATTGATAAGAGCGTTGACCAAGTGGCTTGTTTGCGTTCGAAGGCTGCAGGGAGACGTGGAAGTGACTGCTTATCGGCGACAATTTTTCAATGCATTGGCCGTCCGTTGCCTGGAACAGCTCAGTCACGTAAACACCACTGGAGTGCGAGCAACATGCTCTTGATAATCTGTCTTGGCCTTGGCTTAATGGCTGCGCTGCTTAGCCTTGGCTTAATGGTGGTGCTGCCCCTGCTTGGCTTGTTGTTGGTGCTGTTGGGCCTATCGCTGCTGTTGCTCAGCCGCAAATCGGCGCTCATCTTTGGCAAATATCCATGCAAGGGCATCTTTTACAGGATCAAGTATGGCATTGCGTTGCTTGTGCTGCGCCAGCTGCGCTATCGCATCTACCAACGCAACGAGGAGCAGCTCAGCTCGGCGGCGCATCTGGCCACGCTGGATCGCCCGCAGCCGCTGACCAATGATCCGAAAAGCTATGATGTGGTTAGCTTTATGGCTGCCAATGCAGCTGGCCAGAAGCTGATGGTGTCGCTGGAGCGACGCAGACGCGGCGTGCTGAAGGCGGCCCTGTATCTATGGCTGCCCGATGGTCATTTGTACTCGCTGCCCAAGCTGCCGGACATGGTGCACTTCACCAGCGATGGCAACGAGGAGAGCACCGAATTTCGTGGTGCTGGCTTCCATATCTATCCGGAGGAATCGATGCGCGTCTGGCGCCTCGAATATGTGGGCCAGCTGCGACGCTCCATGATCAACGAACCGGCGACGAATGATGAGCAGCTGGTGGAAGTGCAGCTGGATATGAAATTCACAAGCACGGCGGAGCATTTCAACTACAATCGCGATCTTAGCTCATCGTTGATTGCCGACTCTATAGCGCGCGAGGCCTGGAACGATAGCTTCTATGGCATGCTCAAGAGCGTCGGTCACATTGTGGAGAAGCGTACCCACTATGAGCAGAATGGCCAGCTTTCCGGCAGCATTGTGCTCGGCCAGAGCCGGCTGCAGCTGGAACTGCGCGGATTTCGGGATCATAGCTTTGGCACCGAGCGCTGCCTGAGCTCCATCAATCGCTATGTCTACTTTGCCCTACTGCTGGACGATGGCAGCAGCATGGTCGTTGGCAATCTTAGCCAGCCCTCGTTCTTTCTATCCTCGCTCAAAGTGGGCTATGTGTGCACGCCGCAAGGTGTCTATCAGCCGATCACCGCCAGCAATTTTGAGCTGTACTCCTACGGGGAGAAGGGCACGCCGCCCCAGCATCAGAATTTCATAGTGCATACCGCGGAGCGCGCCTATCTGATCCAAATACGTGTGGAACACAGCGCTGTACGCTATGTGGGCGGCGACTGGGAGTCCAAGGTGTACAATCAGTTTGTGGCCTGCACCGTTAATGGGATTAGCGGCCAGGGACATGCCGAATATCTCTACAGGCACAACATGGGCCGACCCGAGTCGGTCACCGCCCAGGATCCGCAGTGGTATCAGCGTATTAAGTGCTTCGAGCGCAGTCTGAGCAACATGGAGCTGGTCTGCGATGAGGATTTCATATTCTAGGACATCCTAAATTGGATATATATATATATATATACAACTTGATGCATACCTATGTGATAAATAATGTTACTCTTTAACAGAAATAAGTAAATAAAATTATATAGTTATTGAACACCAAAGGTAATTGATCAGTTTGGACCGATAACTTCTGTAGAGCTTTATATATAAGACTGTTCACATGTGGGAAGTACTTAAATTCCAGGCTTGGTCAAGATATCGATAGAAAGGAGAACTGAATTTTCGAAGGATCGTTTTAATGACATAACCAGGTCGAACCTGGCCGATTCTGATATACTATATGTCCTGCCTGCAACCGCAAGACGGATCTATTCTAAGTTGAAAGCCTGAGCAACTATTTCGGCATGGAAATAGACAAAGTCGGGCAAAGCTTGATATATATTAAAAATTGGGTGTGCCGAAGATATTTGGAATGTGGACCACCAACAAGCACTTTAAATATTTAAAAATAAATCAACTTGAGCACGTTAGCGTAGAATGCAGCTTACCGGGCCACAGCCGTAAGCAATCCGGGATAAGATAAGAAAATATTTGGGATTTTCTATCAATAAATGAAACAAGGAAGGCGGTTACGTATTTTATATACCCCTTAATTTATGAAGGCAAAAGACAATGATTTGTGTTATCGTAGCGGTCTTATGCCTGGGATTAGTAACGATCTAGTCCAGCTGTGTAGAACCGTCTTCCTGCGATAAGGGAAAACTCAAGAGCAATCAAGACCTTTGTAAATAATTGGTTATGCGGCTGGGACGGGGCAAGGTAATCACTATTCATGCTGTTTGACTGATTGACTGACCTACGACAAATATCGGCTAACGACCACGATTACCCAACAGACTATGTTAGCATTAAATTGGATAACATTCTTAAGGTACGCTTCTGGACATTTCACGGGATGATAATTACAAAGTTCAAAGTCCCTAAGTATAAATTTAGGGCTTGGTTTTTGTTATTATAGTAGTTATTTCAACTGGCAGAAAGAATACAAAAGCAATGACAGAACTGTGATCATCGCAGTATTTCGATTGGCGAGCATATCGCTTGAAGTGCTTATTCGTAGAATTCCCGAAAGCTCTATCTTGGTTGCGTTGTACACCCTAGGGCATACAATTAACACCCTTGTAGAGCGTATTATGATTATATCGCGAAGTGGGTAACGCTTAGAGCGATCCCATTAGGATCAGTATCAACAACTGATTCGTCTTGATTATATATAATTGCCTGCACTTTAATTGGCTTGGCATGATTATGATTTGCATTACGACTTGAATTTCGAAACAGTTGTTTATAGAAACAGTTTTCATTTTGCTTTCAAAATATATAGAAGTAAAAAGAAATATTAAAGAATTTTGTCAGGCTTACGTTCAAAATTCAATATCAAAATTCATAGGTTTTAAGATGTTCAACATTGGCACCAGCTCGGAAGTCAGCTCAACGGCGACCATTGTAAATGTGAAGGATGCGATGAATACGCCAACTGCCTCAATATCTAATTGCAATCGTATAAGGAGTCGTAGTCGTAGTCGTAGTCGTAGTCGCAGTCGCAGTCGGAGTCCCGGTGCCATCTCCGACAGCTTTAAGTTGAGTCCGGCAGAGATGCCGTCGAACAGTCGCAGAGCCTTTCTACAGCACATGGTTGATAATTTGCCAAAGACGGTGCGCAATCGTGTGTTGGCGCTGAAGCACAATCAATTGCAGCAGATTAAAATATCGGAGCAATTCTTTCGCGAGGTCTACGATCTTGAGAAGCGTTTCTATTTGCAGAGTTGTACGCTCTTTGATGTCCGGCGCGATATTGTCGCCGGTGATGTGGAGCCGCCGGTAATGGAGCGCTATTGGCGCGAGGAGCCCGATGAATTGCTCGAGGAGATTAAGACCACAGAGGAATTTAAGCAACTGACCGAACAGCTGCATCAATTGCCATCCAATGCGGTGGGCGTGCCTAGTTTCTGGTTAACGGTCTTTCGCAATGTGGCCCTCATCTCAGATCTGGTGCAGGAGCACGATGAGCCATTGCTCGAGTGCCTGCTCGATGTGCGCATTAGTTACGAGCCAGATAGTTATACAGTTCATTTTCAGTTTCGTCCCAATGGGTATCTGCACACATCCTCTCTGCAGCTAACAAAAAAATATATATTGCGTCACGAGGCGGACAAGGACTATCCATTTATGTTCGAGGGTCCAGAAATTGTACGTTGCGAGGGCTGTCACATTCACTGGCGGGATGGCTCTAATCTGACATTACAGACGGTCAAACAGAAACGTCCCCGGAAAGGTGCACGCAATATATCAAAGGTGATGCCACGTGAGTCCTTCTTTCGATTCTTCTCACCGCCGCAGGCGATGGATCTATCATTGGCCGATGAGAAGACAAAAATGGTACTTGGCGCCGACTTTGAGGTGGGCTATTTGCTGCGCACCCAAATTGTGCCCAAGGCGATACTCTTCTATACTGGCGACATTGTGGATAACGTCAACGATGAGCTCTGCACAGCGGACAATACATCGGCATCGTTGTCCTCTCTGTCGCATGGTGATCAAGATAATCAAAGGAACTCAAAGGAACGCCCCAGCATTAGCAGTGTTAATCCTAAATAGAAGTTTTAAGATTTTCATTAATCATGCATGCATTTTCATTCCTTCATACTCTCTACATACATATACCACAAGGTATACACATATACATATGCATATATAAATATGTGTAGCTAATTAGATTCGTATTAAGAGCTATTTAAATATGCTAGTGTAGTACTCCTCCTCCAGATCGTACAGGTCCATGGCCATCTCGTCGCGCAGCTTCATCAGCTTTTTGTCGCACTCAATTTGCGTAGCGCGAAACAGCTGTGAGTTGTTTGTGATTGCCTCATTCACCGAATGAAAGTCATTGAGTATTAGATATTGCTTGAGATCTGCAACTAGCTTCATCAGCGATTCACCAGCTCGCACTGCAACACAGAGAAAGGGCTGTCAATATACTTTCCTCGAGAGTATTTTTTAATGGGCGTGGATGCAGCCCCAAATACGCTTTGTTGAAGTAGGAGTAGTTGTCATCGATATATATACTATCAGTCCTCATGGACATATTTAAATACAAATTCGTTGTTAGTAAAGATGAAGAAATATTTGCTTTGGGCTTCGATTTATCCTGTAATTTCCTTGCTTTCAAAAATATCCAAAATAATTCGAAATAAAACTATCTCAACACTGTATTACTATATAATTCAGCTGCCATGGAACTATCCGTTGATATCGATATCCTTGTGTATTTGTTGTTTGTCGCGCTTAAAATCCTTTGCCCAAAACGTTAATAAAAGATCTAACTAATATATCATATAAAGCTGTCATAGGAGCGAGTCATATCAATAGAGAATAGTATATCGTACAACTGTCATGGTATGTTTGGCAGGGTATTTAATGTTCGCCATCACAGAAAGCTAACTGATATCAGTGGTCTATATATGTATTTAGTGGTCCGCTTACCCATGTTGGCGGCTCTCACTTGCATCTCTAGTGCATCCTGCTCGCACTGTGTTGTCTTTGAAATTTGACTGTGACTTTCGCGCCGCGCCAGCTTCAGAATTTCTGTAAACAAAAGCATAAACAACGGAGTCAGTTATTGTTTGAGAGCGGAGTGCAAAAGAGAGAGAGAGAGAGCACACACAGAACACACACTCTGCTCGTATCGGGTGGCATAAACAAATGCCTTTGGGCTTAAAGAGAGGCTATGGTTGCCTTGTGGCAGCCGGACAGAGCTACAGTTGGAGCCAGAACGCGTGTGGATCTTGTCATTTACATACAGTTACATGCAAAAATATTTGCTCAGTTCTCAATTTAAAAATACAACAAAATTAGCAGCCGCATACAGAATGGGCACATCATTTTCATTTTTCTTCGATCGGTTTGCTGCCAAGGAGGATGTGCGTGTGTTGATGATTGGACTGGACGCAGCCGGCAAGACCACAACTCTGTATCAACTTAAGCTGGGCGCCACTCTAACCAACATACCGACCATTGGATTCAATGTGGAAATATTGGAATACAAGCGCCTCCGTCTGACCGTTTGGGATATTGGCGGACAGAAGCGTGTGCGTTCCATGTGGCGATATTACTATAATAATGCAGCTGGCGTCATATTTGTGGTGGATGCCGCTGATGTTGAACGTTTTCCCGAGGCCATGACCGAGCTGCATTCGGTGCTGCGCGTGAACGAACTAAAGGACAGTGTCGTACTGGTTTTTGCCAACAAGCAGGATCTGCCGCATGCCATTGCACCGGCAGATCTAGCCTTGCGATTGCGCTTGGATGAGCTACAACAGCGCTGGAAGGTGCACGGCGTCAGCGCCGCCAACGGACACGGCGTTCTCGAGGGCATGGAACTGCTCTATCGCATGATACGACAGCGTCGTCAGCGTGTCCGTACCGAGCGTCGTTTCAAATCATTCTTCTAGCCCCATTGGCGGCTCCAGTTTCAGCGTTCGCGCCATTTCCAGCTCCTAGCTCTTATATACATATATATGTAGCATAAATGTGTATGATATTACCTTCAAAGTTTTCCAACATGCTGCGCACATCGTCTTTGAGGCGCGCATTGTAGGACTTCAGCAGCGCCTCTTTCGATTGCGGCAGTATTGTGGTCCGTGAGCTGCTTGCCATTTGGTGAGCGCAGCAATCAACCACACGGCTGTTGCAGGGCTATAAATTTGCTTTAGTTAACAGTTTGTTATTAAAATTATTTCGCTTTATTTATAATTTATTTGTGGTCTTTGCCGCGGTTTTGGCTGCCAAGCAGGGTTGCTCATATGCGTGCATGGTGTCAAAAATTATGGCTAGTACAAGATAACGTCTCGGTTTTTAAATTCTTATTTCATTTGGTAGGTATGACGTCATGATTACCAACGAAGTTCAAGTCGAACAGAATGGTAAATGCGGCAATTGCATTTATCATTTAACCCCATATAGATGATACGCATTCAAAATATTTAGACCCACATTAGCATTGCTTAGATGAAAAATCGGAGAGTGGTGACGTCACAATATATGAAAACAATCGTTTGCGCAATCTCTTGTATCACACCATACCTGGGATGCTTCTTGCATATTTTGGCGATATAAGCTATCGATTAACTCGTTTTAAATATCGATACATGGAAATTCTTTGCTTGCCCATCGCTAGTTCTTGACCTGCAGGGGTTGTGAAAAGTGATCTCGAAAATAGCGTCAGAGTTGAGCAAGGCATTGGCCCGCAGCGTAATTTCCATCAAGATAAGCCAACGAAAGAGATTCTACAACTGTAATGCTTTAATGCTAAAGTCCATACTTGGCGCGGACACGAATGGTTCTGGGGAAGATATACCAAGCGGAGGCGTTGGCGTGGCCAACGGCAGTAGTGGCGGGAGTGGCAGTGGTAGCAGCACCAGCGCTGGAGCACTAAGCCGAGCCAGTTACGGCCTTGGCTCCAGCTCAATATCCAGTGGCCTAAGTGCTGTCTGTGGCCTTGTCGGAAGTGGAAGTGCGAGTCGCAGTGGCAGTGGGAGTGGGAGTACTAGCGGTGGTAGCACACCAGCCTCCGTGTTTTGTCCCGCATGCGTAGCAAACAGCTCACAGCAGCAGCAGCAGCAGCAGTTGGCATATGCCTCTGGGGCTGAGGCGTTCCAATTGCGAGAATCAAAATCGGGCAAGCGGATTAAGGCGCGCAAAAGTGCATCAACGGCTGGCTGCTTGGACGCACAGCATATACGCAACAATCTGAAGATGTCCACATCGAGCTCAATGCGAAGCACACGCGGCAACGGCAACGGCGCTGGAAGCAGCAGCAGTAGCAGCACGGCATCCGCTGTGGTACCATTCGCTGGCTGCAGTCTGGCATACGATGGCAGCAGCAATGGCAGCTGCAGCAGCGTCAATGGTAAAGCCATCTCTCCGGGCAGCTACAGCTGCAATGCGCTCAATGTGGACTTCAACTCCTATACGGCTACGCATCAATGGACACGCATGCTGGAGTGTGCCGAGTTTGTGGGCGCCAAGTAAGTGTAGCCAGTTGCACAATGCAGGAACATGTTTAATCGTGGTTTTTGTTGTTGTTCTTACAGGCGTAGCAAGCATACGGTGGTTGCCTACAAGGATGCCATGTTCGTGTTCGGCGGTGATAATGGCAAGAACATGCTCAACGATTTGATAAGGTTTGGGGTCAAGGACAAGTCATGGGGACGGGCATGCGCAACGGGCACACCACCAGCACCGCGCTATCATCATTCAGCTGTTGTCGCGGGCAGCTCAATGTTCATCTTTGGCGGCTATACGGGCGACATACATTCCAACTCAAATTTGACCAATAAGAATGATTTGTTTGAGTACAAATTTCTCAGCGCCATGTGGGTGGAATGGAAATTCTCGGGCAGGTAAGACGAATCGCCAATCGTTAGTCCGAAATCACAACTAAAAGTTGCTACTCTCTCTCTCTCTCTCTCTCTCTCTCTAAATTTGGCAGGCAACCCGTGCCACGCTCGGCGCATGGTGCTGCAGTTTATGATAACAAAATGTGGATTTATGCCGGCTACGATGGCAATGCACGACTCAATGATATGTGGACGCTTAATTTGACCGGTGAGAATCATCAATGGGAGGAGGTGGAACAGCAGGGTGATCGTCCGCCAACTTGTTGCAATTTTCCCGTTGCCGTTGCTCGCGATGCCATGTATGTCTTCTCTGGCCAGAGTGGCTTGCAGATAACAAATTCGCTGTTTGAGTTTCACTTTAAGACGCGCACCTGGCGTCGCATCTCTAATGAGCCGGTGCTGCGTGGTGCCACGTCGGCGCCACCATCACGCCGCTATGGTCACACCATGGTGCATCACGATCGTTTCCTGTATGTGTTTGGTGGTTCGGCAGACTCCACGCTGCCAAATGATTTGCACTGTTACGATCTGGACTCGCAGGTGTGGTCTGTAATACATCCGGAACAGAACTCAGATGTGCCATCCGGTCGTGTGTTCCATGCATCGGCCGTAATTGGCGATGCAATGTATATATTTGGCGGCACCGTCGACAACAGCGTCCGACGTGGCGATACGTATCGCTTTCAGTTCTCCAGCTATCCCAAGTGTACGCTGCGCGACGACTTTGGCAAGTTCTTTCAGGAGAAGCAATTCTGTGACATTCAGTTTGTGGTGGGCGCTGAAGAGATACGCATTCTGGCGCACATTGCCTTTGTGGCGGCACGCTCCAAGTATTTGCGCAACAAGATATTGTCGGCGCGCGAGGCGCGTCAACAGCAAATGGAGAAGGTTTATGGTGTTGGTCAGGTGGATGCATTGGTATTATATACGGGCGTCGGTGCGGATCGTGAGCCCATGCTAGAGGTGCGACTGTCACATGCCTCACCCGAAGCTTTCGAGATCATACTTAACTACATCTATACGGATCGCATTGATTTGAAGGACTCCTACAGCAAGAACATCATCATACTCATCACGGACATCTATCAATTGGCTGGCCTGTTCACCATGCCGCGCCTGGCGCACGGCTGCATACAGTATCTGGACTATAAGATCAACAAGATAAATGTGCTCGAAGCGCTCTACAATGCGGACAAAAACAAGTGAGCTTCTGGCTGCCTT